ATTTAAAAAAGTGGTAGAAACGCAATATATTTTTGTTTATTTATTATCTCTCTAATTTTTCAATCGTAACTACCACTGTGACTTACATTTTGAATAATTCATATTTTAAAATAAAATCATTCTTTGCATTCCCTGTCTAGAAAAAATTGTTAATTTCAGTTTTTTTTAAATAAAACATTTGTCAACACTTTCTTTAGTTTCTGTCGCCAGTGGCAATTCTGCTGCTACTACTTATATTATTTCATTACTTATATTATTTATACTTATATTATTTATACTTATACTACAACTTATCTACTACTGATACTATTTGGTTAAACAATCATTCATCGATATACTGTTATTTACCAAACATGTTACAATTGTGCTTGCACTACTTTAAAAATATGGAGGTTATATATTCAGTTAAAAGTGATTTTATGGTCAGATAAGCAAACATGATGTGAGTCATTTAGATTTACATAAAAACTTACATTTGATAAACCAAATAAAAATATAAAATTTTTATTTTATGGGGAATGATATGGTGTTTTTTTCTCTTTTACTAATTCTAATATTTATAACCAAATCATACTTACCTACACATTTTTCGTAATAATCGCTAAGTAAATAATTTTCTGGACATGTACACACTTTTTTGTTATTTTTGAAAGTGCACGATGTAGCATGGCTTCCACAATAACACCCTGTTGAATAAGAATTTTCATTTTTACCGTGTTTTAAACGCATTTACTTCAATACAATATAACAACAATTTAACAGTGAATTGTTAGTGAACGATAATTGCTAGTGAAGATTCCATAATACCGTACTATTTAAAAAGATATTTCCGTAAACTTATTGCAATTTATTCAGTGTTACACACTCTAAAAATTTCTGCATGGAATCATCTGCAAATCATATTGATTGTAACTGCAGACATTTTTGATGTAATTTTTTACGCTTTCTCAAAGACTGTAAATCAAGCTAATTCTATTGTTTTAATAACTATTTGTAAAATGAAATTTATCTATATTGAGCCTGCTTATAACACTAATTTATTCTATCGGAATGAAAAAAAATCTTAGATGCTTGCTGAACACTTGCCTAGAAATTATTAGTAATTCGAAGTTGAATTAAAAAGAAAAAATAAAGTAGTTAAGCTTTTTCTTCATAGACCTAACGTGTATTCTCCCTTCAAAACTCAAAACACAATATTCCTGAATGTGCAGCAATTAGTATAGTTTCGCAATGTATAGTTCCGAATGTATCACAATTCGTATAGTTTCACAATATATAAATTTGACTGTATCGTAATTCGTATAGTTTCATAATATGTAGTTCTAAATGTATCGCAATTCGCATAGTTTCGCAATGCATAGTTTTGATTATCTCGTATAGTTTTAAAGTATAGTTTCACAGTTGTGAATGTATGGCAATTCATATAAACTATAAAGATTTCGTCGTTAGACTGACGGGCGAAATTCTTGCACGAAATTTTCTTGAACCTAAACTTGGAATTCCATACATATATACAAAAGCCTGAACTTGGGAGATATTTTATGTAATTTTGCTGATGCAAACTTTATTTAGAAGAATAAAAATGTCAGAGTTTAAATTCTGTTTTTATATGCAGCTAGTTTCTTTTAAAATTTTGTTAACTTATACTCACAAGTTTTTATCACGTAACATACGTAAATAATAAAAATTAAAGGATCGGTTTCTTATCTTATTAAAGGTCGATAATGACATATAGACGATATAAATAACATTGTAAATTGGCAAAATTTATTAAGAATAATAGAAAGGGAAGATTTATTACGTTCACACTTTTCATTGTTTTGAGCGTAATCAGTCATACAGTTGCAAATTTTTTCACCATATGCGTTATAGTGGCATCCTCCTGACCAAAATCCACAGTCACATTCTAGAACAAATATATATCCATATAAATTAGATTTTTCATGTAGTTGAAACGTATA